CACACACACTATGCAAGCCTAAGGCTTTGTTTTTGAGTTATGCAATCACCTCTATATATCCTATGCAAATGTACATAAATCAAGACAAAAACACTTTTTTTAAATAAAATTAAAATATGTTAAAGTAGGTTTTGTTTGTGGTGTATGATCTGGTGTTTTTCTGGTTCTAAGATAGCAGCCCCCTTCCAAAAGGAATACTTATGGGAGGCAAGGGTGAGGGACTTATGGTGGCAACAGTTGAGGATTATAGGGGAGCGGCATGTGGGGATGGGACTTCTGGTTCCCAGATGGCGACTAGGGGATGGGGCACCTATTAGGGGGGTGAGGCTACACTTGCAGCCTTTGACAGCTCACCAGAACTCATTAAATGGCTCTCCAGCCAAAATAATTGCCTGCTTCTACTTAAGATGTCAAATTTTGTTTATCTTCAAGCAGAAGGAAGTGTTTTTGATTGCTTGATAGTGGCTTAATAACTTTGATATCTTGCCTGATAAGAAACTTAGTATATTTTAATCCAGCAATAATTAATTTAGCTGATACTTTCCTGCTATTTCTTTCAACTTAACTATCAGTACATAACTATCAATTAATATGTATGATGCATAATATTTCTAAATAGTTTTTGTTCATGTATCTTTAAAGCTGGAGTGCCTAATACAGTTAGTGAGAGCTGGAGCTACTGTAAATGCCTCTACAACACGTTTTGCCCAAACACCAGCCCATATTGCTGCTTTTGGAGGACATCCTCAGTGCCTGATCTGGTTGATTCAAGCAGGGGCCAACATAAACAAGCAGGTATGAACTAATACTTTGTTTTGTCTTTGTATCTAAAAGTGTGTTTATGCCTTAAACAATAATTTAATACGCTTATGGAGATTATCAGCATTGTAAAGATCAACTGTGGAAAGCATAAGCATCTCATCAAAATTTATAAAGGAAGTCGGCTGATGACAACTATAGTATGAACTGTATAAGACCACTTAATTATTGAAGAACACTCTTTTCGCACAATAAGTTGAGGTATGGATGGTGGCTTGAGCAAAAGGTTATATTGGATCACTGGGGTCTGTAGCAGAACCACAAATTCTCATGTTAAAAATGCCTATTTTTAATAGATACAGACTTTTTCAGTGGCTTAGTATGTTATGGTCTGCAAAAGTGTCTATACCATATCTAATTAAACCATGGAAGCTGGTAGCAGACCACCATTATTGAGTGAAAATGCTCATTTTAATAAAAAGCAGGGTCTGCATTTATTTTAGCATGTATTTGTTTTCCTAATTTTTCTTTTCTAAGACATAGCAAAATTCTACAAGTTACTTCTTAGTTAGTAGGGAAAGGCTTCTTGCTTCTCCTGAAGATGGAAACAACGAGAAGAAAACTTGTAATGGTAAAGAGGAGCTGAAAAATTGCAGACCAGCAGAGAGACTGAGGCATGCTGTTCTTGGCTAACAACTCAGAGAGGGGAAGGTCCAAGGACCAGTGGTGTACAACTCGAGGTAATTGTGGAGCTCAGACTGGGAGCTGAGGAAATAACGGGGAAGAGACCGAAATGCAAGAATGACTCAAGATATGTTTAAACAACAGGATGAAAGAAAGTAGAAGGAAGTGACTGTAGGACAAGGCAGAGAAATAAGACTAGCAGAGGAGTTAAGATTTGAGGAATAAATTTGTTGTGCTGGAGATTGAAGAGGAGAATTGGGGAGAAATATAAATAGGCAGAAACCTAAAATGGGGTGTCAAGGAAGAAGAGAGTAGCCCATGAGAATAGAGGCATAGGACACAATGGAGCTTCCCAAGGAAATGAGCCTTGGGGGATACTTGGCTGAAATACAGAAGACTCTGAGACACAACAGAAGGCAGAATGATCTTCAGACAGAAGGCAGAATTGAAGAAGTGGACCAGAGACTTACACCAGTGTGAGGAAGAAGCAGGTTTGTGTGCCTGGAGTCTACTTATTAGGGAAAAGATGCAAGATTCTTGCTGAAATTGACCTAGGATAATGATGATTGCCAAACTACAGAAGATTCTCAAAGCAGTAGAGGTTCAAGTGATTTTTTTTTTTCAATAGAACTCCTTCAGCTCATAAAAAGGGGGAGGGGCAAAGGCGTATTAAGATAATGGAGAAAAAAAGATGGCTTGAATTTGTGCTCCAAGGAAGGAACTGGGATATCTTAACCACTGACGCAACCACAGGAAGAGCTCTTTTCTCAAAGGCTAGACTTCATGTGCGTACTTTGGGAAATAGCCTTCTAGGATTAAGGTTGGTACAACTGATAAGAGCATTAAGCTAAGAAAAGAGGGGAGAAGGTAGAGGGGCAGTGTAGGATGACCTCTGTGCCTGGCTTTAGGTCACAGCAAGATATGATAGGGAATAAAGGTATGTCAGTGGGTAGAAGGATGGATGGCAAAGAGGAAGTAATAATAATGATGGGAACAGTAGTAGGCAGGTGATACAGTTAGTGACAGGATAGGATTCTGCTAAGGAATCCTATCAACTAGTGAACTGGGTGCAATTGGTAAGAAACAACTGAAATGTTTGTATGCTACTACCAGGCAGGTGGAAAACAAAATGAAGCAATTTAGGCATAACAATCTTAGATGGAAAACCAAATATGGTAAGAATAACAGAAACATGGTGGAACAGCAGCCATCACTGGAAGACGGTGTTGAAGGGTATGTGCTGCAAAGGAAAGGTAACAAATTAACAATAATTTGCAAGTTATCCTGATTGATTGATTTATTCATTAAATGTTTTTATTTTATAGTCTGCATTATTAAGGAACAATGATAAAACATGGTCATCCTTCCTTAAAGCAATTTTGGCTGTAGAATAATTCTGCTGTATTAGGGTTGGAAGTGTACTTTGGATCCTCAGGATCAAATATGGGTAAAAGTAGAGATCTCCCTAATGGTCTTTAGGGAGTAATGCCAACAATTGCCATTATAGGAAACTTGTCAGATATAAATTGCAGAGCAGATGCTGCAAATAATAGTAGGGTTTATTTATGTTTGGGCCCTGGATCTGATAACAAATACTTCTTTACCAAATAGTTATTGAAACAAGAAGTGATGCTTATTTCTTTTGATTGGCAGTGAAGGCTGTGGTGGACCAGTAGGGGGTGCTCCTGTGCTGAGCCACTCACCTCACTGTGCCTGATCACCTTCCAGGCTCTGAGTGCCTCCCTGGGGGCACCTCATGTCTGGCTGATCCCCTTCCTGGGGCACACCTGCAAGCCTGTAGGTAACGCTGCCACCACTCGGAAGTCTTGGTTTCTTATTGGCTCTGCGCCTCGTGAGGTACACGGGCTTTATAGACCTGAAGGGGGTACTTGGCCTGTTGCAAGAACTTGGGGTGCTTTCCTTTAGTCTGAAGCATAAATAGAGGTCTCCCTTAGCCAGGCCAAGGGGATCCTGTGGTGTAGTCTAGACCCTCTCCCAATAATTCTCCCCTGCTAGGTACAGAGGAGAACTTTATTGATTACAGTGAGTAGGTTTGGAATAGCATATGGGGTGGAGCAATGTCAAAGAATAGCCCTTAGCGCAAACAGTGGCATCGTAGCCTTTGATCACGCATCTGAGTTACTGCAAGCTATGTATCTAGTTAGATCTCGAGTAGCTTACTCACAGGTATCATCCAGAGGAAGGTGGAGATTCCCTTGGGAGGCCAGCAGTTCATTCTCTATGAGTTTCAAGAGAGAGAGTGAGTTTCAGATGGTCCAGCTTCTCTGAGAGTCTTCATCATGGCTGTCACCCTTCCTCCTGGGCAGGCTATAACAAATGGACCTTATAACCTCATTTACCTGATCCAGTGAAGGCCAGCAGTTGTTGGCTGCCAGGCAACCAATTTGAAATGCATCGCTGGTTGCTGGTAGATTGGCAGGGTCTCTAGCCCCGTCCAAGTCATGATGTCATTGCTTAGAACAATAGGGAGTTTAAGCCTCCCCACCACCAAGGTGTATGAGGCCAGTCATGTGGGCAGAGGGAGCAGGTTCCTCCCTCAGGAATGTATCCAGCTCAAGTTACAACTCAGGGTTACCTGAAGCAGATGGGGCAGGGGTGCCTGCCCTCTGCAGTGACCATGATAGCCAAGTTGTCAGATTGCCATCCCAGTCTCTCCCCAAACTCTGCTATCTGCCACAAAGGCATTATAGGAGAGTTGATCATTGGAGATGACTTGGATTCAGTATTCATGTGTGTTGATTCTATTTTTTAAAAGAAGGCTAAAAAGAAATAGGTGTAATGCTAACAGCCTCCATTTGAAAAGGGTAAATGGACAAATTGAGGGAAGTAACTATTCTGGACGTGAGGATCTCAGAGACTCAAAAGAATTTTCAGGTCTCTTCCATGTTCATGTCAAAGGTACTAAAATTATTAGGAAGAGCTTTACAGGCAGGGATAAATTTTACGATGCTCTGCACGACGTGGTCAAAGGAATACCATCAACTGAGCAACTATTCCTCCTCAGAAAATTCAGTGTAAGAGTTGGCGCGGACAACTCATGGCCAGATTGCCTAGGACACTTTGGCATTGGCAAGATGAATGAAAATGGCCATTGACTTCGAGTTCTGTGCCCAAAACCAACTATGCATTACTGATTTCATATTTTTATGGAAAAGTTCATCATAAGGTGTCATGGGGATGAAAGGCGGATATCACCAGCTGTCCTGAACACTGATCACCTATGAGAAGGCTTAAGGGGCTGATGGTTGTTAGGCCTCTTCAGACAACCCCAGGGCCTTTTGTGTGCTGTCTCTGTTTGGGGTGGATTTGGGGGCCAGGGATATACTTAGAGCTACAGCCTACCCTCGTATAACCTATAAATACACAGAGACTCCAATAAAGTTCAAAAGTATATTATAAACTCATGATCACAGCAAAAAAAGATTAATAGTAGGAAACGTACATAACATCAGGCATTAACTGTATACACTGGTTAACTTCAGTATACTGTAAACAGAACTGCCAGGGGCAGCGAAGGGCAGCATCAGGGACTTCACAGGCTCACTGAGCTGGAGTAACAGTCAGGCCCTCAGTTTTTTTCCCTCAGGGGGTACTCAGACTGAGAGTGAAGGAAGGGTGATTGCTGATAATTACCAGTCCAATGGATGATTGAGGTCCTGATCCAATAACACTTTTACAGGTAAATATCCAATTATAATCCAATCCAGTAGGTCACTCCTCTCTCACTGCTACAGTCAGTGCTCATATGCCTCAGACATGCAGGTATGATCACCAACCAAGTAAGCTTGCACACCATTCAAACTTCAAGTCCTCTTAAGCATCCATATTCCAGTCATGCTGAATCGCACTTCAGGATTCCTTAAATACTCACCAAAATTGCACCAGGTGTCAGTCATTCTTCTCACCAATCATGCTCACATGCACATGATACCCTACTATTGTGCTCTCGGCACTCAGATATAGTACATGGTGCTGTACTGGACCACACAAGCTACTGTGCAAGCACCCCAGATGTAAGTGCATCACTGACACCATCAAGGTGGAAAGTTTAGCTGTTCTAGAACCTTCTTACCTCTGAGCATGTGGACACTGATTAGAAGGGATCTTGTGTTATGGACTACATCCAACAGGGACATCCACGATCAGGCCACTGGCACCAACCCAGACCATGTTATTGTTAACAGGAAAGATCTACCTTCAGTGCAGAAGACCCACACATTCCACAGTGCTGACTGTGACACTGACCACTCCCTGATCCTTAGCAAAGTGAGAATTAGAGCCAAGAAACCACATAGAGCAAAACCTAGGAGCAAGCCCAAAATCAGTACCAC